ATTTTTAACTATAGGAAGTAATGTGGAAGTTATTGTCCTTACTACGTAAGTTCAGTGACTGTCAATTACTGGGTAACTGTTTTATCTTATCTGATTTCAGGCAGATGGAGCTAGAGAGAGACTATCAGAACAACAATACAACCGCCTTGTGGAGTACATCACAAAGACATCTTATCACCTGGCTCCCAGCGCCACAACAGTGCCAGCTTTGCAAACTGTGGCTACCGAACACCTTCCAGTTATAATGAAAATGTATCAATATGTAGTTGATCCAAATTTTGCCCAAGTATTCATTAGCAAATTCACCATGGTGAAAAATAAAGCCTTGAGGAAAGGATTTAATTAATGATTATTTGTGGTGAGTATAGTAATACCTGACTGTTTTGAAAGCAATATTTTCTCTGTAGTAACCTACATCAAGTAGAGATGCATATAATTTTTGAGGTGGTAGGAGATGATAACAAAGTTAAGCCCAATAGCTTTTCTAATCTTGACAACATTTCTGCTCCCTAGCCAAAATACTAGTGCTGGAAGGAAAGTGTTCTAGCAAATGAATAAAGTGAAAAGGAACAGCCTTGGACTATAGCTCAATCGAAATCCTTTTTCTTTTCAATAACCAAAAATCAGAGAATAAAGAAAAGTTGCGTGCATCCAGACATTTTCGCCACACATGCAAAACGTGTATCAATACCTACTATATCATATTTTAGGGTCTGCCAGTTTCTGTTATAAACCAGGTTTATAACTCAGCTGTAAAAACTTGCTCAAGGCTGAGCCTTTCCCCACACACGCACACTCCCCCCAACATGTACGTCCTGAGGCAAAACATTTTCCCCCACTAAATCTGAAAAAGCCGGTGTGGCTGTTTTAAGTTACTAGTGACAGCTGGGTTTTAGCACCACTTTAACCTTAAAATAGCTTCCTTTATTTGACTGAAGTTTTGCAGGACATTAGTCCTTAATGTAAACTAGTGCCTTTGTGTGGTTTGGAGAACAAAACATGAACTACAACATGAATTTATTTTTAAAACTATCTGTATATAGAAACTTTATTTTATCCACCATCAAATTTTCAGGCGGCCTTTCAATGTACATATGACATTGTCCATTGTCTGGTCGTTAGCTGGAGGCCAGTAACATGCAATTCAAAAATTTAAGAAACAGAGATTAATCTCCTTAAAATCTACCAGAAACCTGTAAGCTCTACGTTACATTGATGCGCAGGTGCTAAGTATAGCCTTGTTGGGTCTCGCTTACTTCTGATCTGCCACCACTACAAAGTATGTGCTCACTTCGGCCCTAATTAATTTTATGCTTATCATCTTTGAACAGATAAAACCAGGCATATTTAGAAACATGGCTCTTCAAATATGTGTGTGCCAAGAAAAGTGAGATTTTTTTTTTTTCAAGTTGATCAAAAAGTATGGACCCACATGCACTGATTACATTAATAGTTAATGATGCCATCATGATCATCATGATATGATGATCAAGACGAATGAGCTTCCTAAGTGTCTTTTCAGATGTTTTACAGTTTGTAGTAGACAAGAAATCGCTGTCTCTGGGCACAATTAGATTACTTTATAAACCAAATCTGGCTATGGCAGTTTTATTTTAAAAATCAAGATCTTAACTTGGTTTTCAGCTATGCGTGTTACTTTTCTCCCCTTTTCTATGTATTTATGGACGTGAATTTTGTCTGGGGATTCCTGAACATGGCCGGAATCAGAGACAAGAACTGGAATAAAATCTGATCATCATCTGTAGCAGATACATATACTTTATAGTTAATAACTTCTATGCATACTTGATATGACCAAATGCACAGTAAATAAGAATGTAGTAACTGCAAAGTTTTTCTCATGAGCTCTGTTTTGTTAAAAGTTATTTCTTCTAAAAGCTGTGTCTCTTGTGTACTGAAAATACCGAAGCCTGGGATCTGCATTGTCCTTTGACTGTGAAATAAGCCCATCCATTATCAACATTTCATACAGTGATTGAATTACTTAGTTATTGTTTAAATAACACTATTTAAAAAAATGCATATGTATATACACACACAAGCTTCATTCCTGAATATTTTATGGAAAATAGTTTAATACTTCTAATTTTGCATATTGGTGGATAAATTGTAATATAACGGATTGTTTAAAGATAATAAAGCTATTCCTGTAATACTTGTGAGCTATTTGGTCATTCAGTTACAAGGGAACGAACAGGTCACTGTGTAGAACAATGACAAGAGGGACATACAAGCTTCATGTAGACCCCATTAGATGTCAGTTGGTCACTGGACTTCATCATGTACCAGACAATGCAATAGATGATGACAATATTTTGCAAGTAAAAACTGATTATTAGCTTGCCAAAAAACATGTGCCGAAAAGTTTTATGCTTTTGTGACTAACTGAATCAAAACAGCACTGTAGTCACCATTTGAATTAGACTAATCTGTTCATTATTTCTGTAGTACACAAACCAGCCAAGAGGATGCAAACACACCTGTAAAAAATGAGGGAAGGCAGCAGTTTAATTTCTCAAAGTCTGTAGACTGCAGCCGTTGCTTAAGATGATACATTTGTGTTTTTCCTGAATTATATTCTCCTGGGATAAACACTTGCTTAAATTACACTCTTCTTCAGTGACTTACTTCAGCTAGCATCTTTGCTGCATTAGGCAGGTTCTTTCTCCCCCTTCTGACCACATGTATGGAAACGTGTGGAGACAGCATATAAATCAGCCTCTCCTACGTACGAGCTGTGTGAACTATGAAAACAAAGTTGTCCAAAGAGCAGCTGCCTGTACTTAGCTGCTAAAGCACTCCAATGTGTACTCTTAAAACATGCCTACTCTCATAATGCTCTTTAGACCTGGAGAGCTCACAACTTCAAATCTATCTTTTTAGTTTGCTTCCAGAACAATCAATCATTCCTCAAACACTCAAGAATAAAGACAGCCAGCCAAAAATTTGAAGGCGTGGTCAGGCTTATACATGGAAAGACCTTTCCCAAAGTAGTTTAGGTCAAACAATTCCTTTTTACATATTATTTCATACATAAATATAGCAAAAACCTTTACGAACAGTCGGGATGGTCTTGGAGCAAAGCATATTTTTCAGCTCTGCATCTCCTAGAAACAGCATGTGCCAGGCCCTGTAACAAGAAGCTCATGAGGGTCTCACACAGGTCTGTCTTGTACTATGCTACATCCCACTCCCACTTGTTTGCAAGATAGGGTGAGCTGAACTCTTGCTGGCAAAAGCAAAAAGAAAAGACAGGAAAATTGATGAATTTTCTTTCCTGCT